GTTATGTATGCCGATGATCTGATAATTTCCGCCCACTCAGAGGAGGAGTTGAAGGCGCTGCTGCTGAAACTGGAGCGTGCCACTAAGAGGTGCGGCCTTACCATCAGCCCCAGCAAAACTAACCACCTGCCTGGGTATTTTGTACCATCGGGCACTCCACCCCCACAAATCCCCATCGGTGATGGGGTAGTTGTGGAGAGAGTGGAGAGTTTCCCATACCTTGGCAGTGTGCTCATGACCGGCTCCGGTTTGACAGCAGAGGTCTCACTCGGAATCAGTCGAGCGGCATTATCTTTTCACCGGTTGCGGAATGCTGTGTGGAAGCTACCTGGTCTGTTGCTCCGCACGAAGCTTCAAGTCTTCTCGGCCACGGTCATTCCCTCCCTTCTCTACGCTTGCGAAATGTGGACCCCCCTAATGGAGCATCTTCGCCAATTGGAAATATTTAGGCTGGCCTGCCTAAGATCCATCCTGTGTTTAACCAGGCTGGATTGTGTGAGGAGCTCACAAATCCTTGAAAGATCTGGGCAAAGTCCCATCGGTGAGCTCCTCCGGCAGGCAAAGCTGCGTTGGCTGGGTGATGTAGCCCGCACACCCAGTCATTGCATGCCTGAACAGCTTTTGTTCGGCCGGATAGAGGGGGCTAAATGGGCGTGGCACGTGCTAGAGAAGAGATGGAGTGATGTGGTATAGGAGGATGTGGAGCTGAGTGGACTTGCCGATGACTGGTACCAGCGGTGTCAAGATCGGCCTCTGTGGAGGAGGCTCGTGAAAGACGCTGCTGGGCAGTTGGAGGCAGTTGCCCTCCAACAACAACGGAGGGCGGAGGATTGACGCTCACAACCATGAGCGGAGCGCCGGGTGGCTAAAGCACAGCAAGTTGGCACAGTAGGGAGCACAGGTGGTGCATCAGCCAGTCATCTTAGTCAGTCGACCCATGCCACCTGGGTCTGCCCCATGACCTCCTTCCAGCGGGTGTTCGACACTTCACATGGCCTCAAGGTGCACCTAGCCTGGCACAGCATCGTGGTGACGTCACCGCCACTTAGTGGCGAATGGCGGTTATTGTTGCAAGTCCATGTGTGTGTGTCTTAGTCGATATGTGTGTAAGTCCATATGTGTGTCGAGGTCGATGTGTGTGTGTGAGTCTATGTATGTGTGTGAGTCGATGTGTGCGTATGTGAGTCTATGTACGTGTGTGAGTCGATGTGTGTGTGAGTCGCTGCATGTGTGCACGTCGATATGTGTGTGGAACTGCATGTGTGTATCTAAAGTCGATGTCTGTGTGTGTCAGTCCATGTGTGTGTGTAAGTCGATGTGTTTGTGTATGTGGGTCAATGTCTGTAAGTGTGTGTAAGTCGATGTGTGTCTGTCTGTTTCGCCTGGGCAACGCCAGGTACTTCCCGCTAGTGTTTGTATATATGGATGGCTTGTTTCAATTTATAGCACTCTCCGATGTTCACCAGTTTTTTAACCCCTCACACAACCTTCTCCACTGGGGAGAGAGCTGAAGTGAGGAGCCCCGCTCTATCCACTGCTGGCCAAGACTACTTCTGTAGCTTGCTCTATCCACTGCTGGCCTAGACTACTGGCTATAGCTTGCTCTATCCACTGCTGGCCTAGACTACCTCTAGTAATAGCATACTTTATCCACTGCTGGCCTAGACGCCCTCTAGTACACCATGCCTATTGTATGCGCTATCCACTGCTGGCCTTGGCTCCATCTCTATAGGTTTGGCTCTATCATGGCCTAGACTAAATATCTATAGGATGCTCTATCCACTGCTGGCCTAGACTCTTGTGCCCCGCCCATTCCGTTCTCTGTAGGATGCTCTATCCACTGCTGACCTAGACTCTTGTGCCCCGCAAACTCCGTTCTGACACTCGGGCTACGCCCACTTTTAAACCTTTACAAACAGTTGCAGTTAAAGGCTTACCCCCCATTTCTCTCCGCCTGATGACGCCCGCTTGTATTGCGATTGAAACGTCGTAGTTTTGTTTTTCTTTTAATTAATTTGAACCTATCTACGTGACTTTACCGAAAAACCCAAAGGATATCAAGTCCTGCAGTCACGAAAGCTTTAAGGCATATTCTAATGTATTAGTCCACGTGCCAGTGTGGAATTGGTACCACCTGAGATTTCAAAACTTTAATGGGTGCCAATTTCTTTATATGGCCAATAAAAGTGAATGACGTGATAGCCTTTATAAATGAGCAGCTTATGCGTACTATTTTTATTTGAAGTTTTTTCCTCCTTGGGTGGTGCAAAAAAAAGAATGGTTTTGGCCCATGGACTATATTACAGAAGTAGTGCGGTTAAGGAGTTCCAGACTTTACAGGTCCAATTTTCATCCATGTGAAGTTGATAAATTTACCTCACTCAAACACCCCCCCCCCAAATTCACTCAAACTAATATGAAACCCGGTTAAGCGTCAATATCAGTAACGAGACAATAGCAGAAGATGGGTGCCGACCACACAACCTAGTATGCCAAAATGGCTTCAATAAGCGCTCACAGAAAGCACTGGTCCCTATAGTCGAAGGCTGAATGAGTTAGGTGCAAATGTTATTTTAAAAAACATTACAACTAAAATATAGCAACATGCTAAACTTGTGCGAACACTGTGCAAGGTAGAATTATATCAATACAAAACGTAGTATATTACCTACACTGCTCCACAGTACTATCTATGTTCCTTGTGCCAAATATAGAACAGTTTGTTACAGGATCCCTATAAATCCAGAGGGTGGTGCAGGAGGGCACACTCTGGGCCTTATTGTAACCAATGCTTAAAATACTGCATGGAAAAGAGTAGAAGGTATATATCCGAAGCCTTAATTATGAAACCCAAAATGTATATAATGGAAGCTGTTTTCATTAATATTTGCTTTTCATGGATTTTTTTTTATGTTTCTCTGTTGATCTTCTTTGGTTCTTTTGGTAAAGTCACGTAGAATGAGAATAAAATTATAAAATAAAACAAAATTCTCACGACGTTTCGGCCACAACACAAGTAGCCGTCCTCAGGTGAAGAAACAGGACTGTCCAGAAGACAGCGCTTGAGTGAACCCTGTCAAGCTTGACAGCGTCTTTTAAGCTTAGAATGGCGGCATCTCTTCAGAAAGGTGAGAGACTCGATTAGTTGAGCTTTCTTGTCCCGGAGTCTGTTGAAAGATCTTAAGGTTGTATGAAATCCCTCGCCTCTACAATACTGCTTGTGGGCATTCAAAGTCGGGAAGTGCTGTACCATACTAAATCCTGATGAATTTCCAGTCATTATCCGTTTTTTATCATCGTTTCATCATAATTGAGGCTAAAAATACACAGGGGAAATTGCTTAGCTGGCTTTGTGAAGATTCTGCTTTATTTATTCATAAATGACATTCTCCACATCCCATTGTAAATGCATATTTTCTTCTAGATTTGAAGCTTTCGTGACTGCAAGGATCCATACTCTTTGGTTCTATTCGGTAAAGTCACGTAGGTAAAAAATAATAAAACAACAAAAATCACGACGTTTCGGCCACAACACAAGTGGCCTTCATCAGGTGAAGGGGACCGTGTTGTCACGAAGACAGCGTTGGAATAAAGAAAGTCAAGCCAAGTCGCGTCCTTTAAGCTGTGTGGGAGGAAACTAAACGCTTTGACAAAGGAATTAGCCTAAAGTGCTGATGGAACACTTAACACGGGGGAGGGGGGAGAGGAATTTGACAATGCAAACGTTGTCTTGAAGGGAAATAAGCTGCTGTGAAAGTTTGGTATATCACTACTTGGATAAATATACTGTACCATTGAAATTAGTTTAATGTTTGGTATGATTTAGAACATCTTTCCAATGATTGCTTAATTTGAAACCATCTTCTCGGTTGAAATTGTGTCTGTGTTTGTAATCTGAATTGCCTCGTGTACAAATCTCTGATGATAACCTGTGTGTTTGCAAAGGACCTGCGTATCGGAGAACACTATATCGTGATCACCCACAGCGTTGTAACAGTGGTCAGCCACGGCAAAATAATTCGTTCTGCCATGTTTCAAATCTGATTTGTGCTCGCGAATTCGGTCAGAGACATGTCGCTTCGTCTCCCCGATATAGCAATCACCACAAGTGCAGCTCCCACACAGCTTAAAGGACGCGACCTGGCTTGACTTTCTTTATTCCAACGCTGTCTTCGTGACAGCACGGTCCCCTTCACCTGATGAAGGCCACTTGTGTTGTGGCCGAAACGTCGTGATTTGTTGTTTTATTATTTTTTACCTACGTGACTTTACCGAATAGAACCAAAGAGTATGCATATTTTCTATTTGGTTTGAAGGTTCCCCAATAAAGCAAGCTTGCTTTGTGAGGACAGGCAAATCTTTACTGCAATGCAGAGAAAAGTAACACTCATTGGCATTAACACAATTTGAATTTGTATAGCGTACAAATGCAACCGCATACCAGGAAAATTAAGCCGTCAGTGAGAGGCAGGCAAGAGAAAGGTCTTGAGGGGAGTAGCAAGGAAGTTTGAAAGAGTAGGAAGTAGGTGCGGGAGGGTCATCGTAGATGTGTAGTCGTGGGAGTATCGGTGGATGTAGCCATCATAGCGTATTGTGGGGTGGGGGTAATTAGTGGTGTTGGTGTGGTTAAACTATTAGTAGTCTCTCTCCCTGATCCCCAGCAGCAGGATGTGAAAATTCCTGTCAAGGCCGCCAGAGGGTTTTGATGTGTGGTGGGACTAGGCCAAGAAGACTGAGAGCCAAGGGGGTGGCAGATGAGTGAGGAGTGTTGCAGCCAAGTTTAATTTAACTGTGAACCAGTAATGTAGAAATTATCGTGGGAGATGCCAGGCAAGAGGCTTGCGTTAGTTAATGGGGGACCGAGAGTTGAAAGCTTAATTCATGCATCAGTATGTTCAATATACTGTTAAGTATATGCTTCGTGTAGATCACAACACAATCTTCCAGGTTTTGGAGGCCTTTACTGTCAACTGCCCTCAAAGACCTTGAGCTTGACAAACCTGGCTGTTGAGGAGTCATCCCGTTTATGTTGGTTGGCCGCGGAGAAGAATTTGGACGAGGAGATTTTCTTGAATTGTGCATGCTCCACTCCGTACAGCAGCACCACAGGCAGAGCGAAATCAAACGTGATCCTCAGCCCGTCAACCATCTCCTTGCACAGCTCCACACTTGAGTAAGGAAACACACACATACATGTACAAGCACACTTATAAGCATACAGGAATGATGAATACCACGACCTACCTACTGGAATGGACAAACTCGTGGGGATATTACTGCTAAAGAGAACCGATATAAGTCATAGTGGCACTAAAGTTGGAGTTTTGGCGAACAGTTCACGTGACTGGTACCATGCCCAAACCTTCATATCCTGTGCATTTTCTCCTTTCCCAGACAGCTATGTCAATGAAAGAGCCCCAGTCCAGGCACTGGCAGCATTTGTGAGCCATGTACTTGCCAAGAAAAGTACTTCGATAACAAAGAATGCCTCCCTTGTGAATCGATGAAGTGCCACTACTCTTTGGTTCTATTGGGTAAAGTCACGTAGGTAAAAAATAAAATAACAAAAATCACGACGTTTCGGCCACAACACAAGCGGCCTTCATCAGGTGAAGGAATCAGGCTGTCTCGAGGGCAGCGCTGTAGTGAAACACAACCACGCTCAGACCACGGACCTTTAAGCTGTGTGAGCAAACAAGGTGCCTTGACAAAGGAATTAGCATAAAAATTAGCATTTGATTTTAGAAAAGAGGTGGTGTACGTGCCGGTGGACTTGCCGTTTGGCGCGGGGGTGGGGGAGGGGGAGTTTACCTATTGATGGTGTGAAAAGGGAATTTATAAGAGCTGCGAAAGTTTGGGGTACCACTACTTGAAAAATATACTGTACCATTGAAATTAGTTTAATGTTTAGTTCGATTTAGAACATCTTTCCAATGGTTGCTTAATTTGAAACCATCTTCTCGGTTGAAATTATGTCTGTGTTTGTAGATCTAAATTGCCTCGTGAACAAATCTGATAAAAACCCGTGGGTTTGCAAAGAACCTTGGTATCGGAGAAAATTATATCGTGATCACCCACAGCGTTGTAACAGTGCCACTATTCGGTGTCAAAATTCAAGAGACAATTATTTCTTCTATTGTGGCGAATATAGCGTCCTCTACTGACAGTATGGGTCACATTTATCCAATGCATTTATACAAGGTATACAAATTGAAAAGTATCTTATATATAAAAGTCTCCGCGCATGCGTGGTTGCGATGGATTTGGCTCTCAGACGGTGGGCTTGACGTCCAAAAAAAATTTCCAGGCAGCACGCCCTAAGCCCCAGGGTGGGTATAAGCTATTCCGTTTTCTCATCCCTAAAATTTAAAGTAGTTTAATTAACAAATTTGTGGCATTCTTTTTTTAATTATTTACTTATTGCATGCCACCGACCGTACCAACTGACGACAATTGCCTGGGGGGGGCGGACCCTGCCAAGTGACGCGCCTTCGTTCCAGCTCACGGGGGACATTTCATTTTACGCGTTGAACATGCAATAAATATACACTTCATGCTGCGCAGTTTTCTTCACAGTCTCATGTCCTTTTCGCCCCCCCCTCCAACACGATGCGTCCAGTTTCTACAACAGAATTCCTACATAATAATATTATAGTGCTTAGATACCATTTTTCTTGCACGGGTGGGGGGATGGCTGTGGGGGTAGTGGCCCAGCCTGCCAACGTGCCACCTCCACTGCCTCAGCAATGTAGGCCAGGACGGGGGCTCCGCACGGGCCTAGGCCTGACCAAGCCTATGGTAAGGACAAATGTCCTTGCTTCTTACGCAAAGAACTCACGTTCATTGCTTACTATTATGAAATAAGTTGACAAATATTACAATAATGTTTGTGTGTAGATAATAACTCAGCTTCATTGCTTACTATTATAAAACTAATAAGTAGCCAGATATTACAATAATTTTGTTTGTGTGCAGATAACTCAGCTTCATTGTTTACTATTATGAAACTAATAAGTTGGCAAAGCTTACTGTCATAATGTTTGTGTGCAGATAAGAACTCACGTTCATTGTTTACTATTAAGAAACTAATACGTTGCCAGATATTACAATAATTTTGTGTGCATATACGAACTCTGCTTCATTGTTTACTATTATGAAACTAATAACTTGCCATATATAAATAAATGTTTGTGTGCAGATAAGAATTCACGTTCATTGTTTACTATTATTAAACTAATAAGTTGCCACATATTACAATAATTATGTTTGTGTGCATATAACAACCCAGGTTCATTGTTTATTATTATGAAACAAATACGTTGCCAGATATTACAATAATGATGTTTGTGTGCACACAACAAAATTTTCATTATTAGCTTGATAAATATTCCCTTTTTAAGCTGTGCTTTTATCACGCTGCGACGGTCTACTGCCAGTCTGTCATGTGGTTTGCTGCCTGCTGATTATTTGACATCAGTGCACTGCCACTCTATTATCTACACTGCTAATTTTACCTCAGTGTACTGCCAGCCTTTCATGTCGACTGTATTCTGCTTTTTCAGCTGCTGCCCGTATTGCCAGCTTTTTTGTCGACTGTAGCAATGCTTATGTCATTGAGTCGGCGTACTGGTAGTCTATAATCTAAACTGTAGCCTGCTTCTCAACTTACCTGTGCGTACTGCTGCTCTTTAATTTACACTTTCTGCTTATTTCTTCAATGCATTTCCATTGTTTCCATTGCTCATGTCACGCTATTTACTCATACGGAGTACTGCCATACTGATAGCTGTGCCATCATCGGGGATTGCTGTCCACGTCGATGTGTGTGTGTGCGAGTCGGTGTGTGTGTTTGAGTCCATATGTGTGTGCGTGTAGGTCCATGCGTGTGTCTGTCTTTTTCGATTGGACAACGCCCGATGTGTGTGTGTACGTCCAAGTGATTGTGTTTGTGTGTCAGTCCAAGTGTGCATGTCAGTCTATTTGTGTGCGTATCAGTCGCTGCGTGTGTGTTAGTCCATGTGTGTGTGTGTTAGTCGATGTGTGTGCATGGCTCCATCTGAGTGTGTAAGTCAATGTTCATTTGTGTGTCTATGTGTGTCAGTCGATGTGTGTGTGTACGTCGATGTGTATGTGTGTGTCAGTCCATATATGTGTGTGTCTTAGTCCACGTGTGTGTAAGTCCATACATGTGTGTGTCACTCGATGTGTGTAAGTCAATGTGTATGTGTAAGTCAATGTGTATGTGTGAGTCGATATGTGTGTTAATCTATGTGTGTGTATCTAAAGTAGATGTCTGTGTGTCACAGTCCATATGTGTGTGTGTGTGTGTAGGCCAATGTGTGTGTCAGTCTATGTATGTGTGCGTAAGTCCATGTGTGTTTGTCTTAGTCGATATGTGTGTGTAAGTACATATGTGTGTTTACGTCAATGTGTGTGTTAGTCCACGTATGTCTGTGTGTGAGTTGCTGTATGTATGTACGTCGATATATGTGTGTGTAACTCCATGTGTGTGTATCTAATGTGGATATCTATGCGTGTGTGAGTCCATATGTGTGTGTGTGTAAGTCCATGTGTTTGTGTGTGTGAGTCGATATGTCTATGTGTGTCAGTCCATGGGCGTGTGTGTTTGTCCCTTTGTGTACGTGGCTCCATGTGAGTCAGTGTAAGACCATTTCTTTGCGTGTCTGTAGGTCCATGTGTGCGTGTAAGTGAATGTATGTGCTTTATTGACCTGGTCAAGGCCTATGGTACCATCAGTAGGGCCTGGTCTCTGGGTTGTTCTTCATGCTTTCGGAGTCCCTCACCCTTTGCTCACGATCCTTAAGGACCTTCCTGATGGTGAGCGGCCCCACGTCAAATTACGTCCCCGTCAGTCAGAGCCATTACCTCTACACCTTGGGGTGCGAGAGGGATATCCTCTGCCTCCCACATTATTTAACATATCTTTTGACCACGTAGTTTGTGAAGCCTTCAATGGCTGTACCGGAGGAATTACCATATGCTACAGATACAACGGGAGGCTGATTGATGCCCAGGTGCAGTCAAGAGATAGCTCCCTATTGATCAACCATGTGTTTGTATGCCGATGCTCTGGTCATTGCTGTTCACTCAGAGGAGGAGTTGGAGGCACTGCTGCTGAACCTGGAGCTTGCCACGAAGAGGTGGAACCTTACCATCAGCCCCATCAAAACTAAGCACCTGCCTGGGTATTTTGTACCATCAGACAATCCACCCCCACAACTCACAATTGGTGATGCGGCAGTTGTGGAGAGATTGCAGAGATTCCCATACCTGCCCAGTGTGCTCATGACTGACTCTGGTTTCACAGCAGAGGTCTCACTCCAAATCAGTTGAGCACCATTATCTTTTCATCGGCTGTGTTACGCTGTGTGGAAGCTACCTGGTCTCTCGCTCCGCATGAAGCTCCAGGTCTTCTCAGCCACGGTAATTCCCTCCCTTCTCTAGGCTTGCGAAACGTGCACCCACCTAATGTAACATCTTCGCTGGTTAGAAACTTTTTAGGCTGGCCTACTAACGATCCATCCTGGGTTTATCCATATGTGTGTGTGTGTGCGTCTAAGTCGATGTGTTTCTATGTGTGTGGTTAATGTCTGTGTGTAATTCCATGTGTGTCTGCCTTTTTCGCCTGTGCAACGCCGGGTACTTATCGCTAGTATATTCTTAAATGTACAATTCTATTGACATTATCATGCGTATAAATACGCATAATGCATGAACTAATGCATTGTTATAACCATACAGATCACCATTTTTCACACACACATTACATAATGACATTAGCAGGTACTTCAATGAAATCCTTGTGTAAGTGTACATCAAGAGTCAACTGAGAAACTTATACTTCTGTTTATACATTACAGAGTAGATTTTAACTAAGTTATCAATGCAAGCAGCTTACAATTCAAGAGCGGTAAATGAGTTGTAATAATAAGTATTTAATGTTACATTCTCACGAGTGTTATTTTCAAGAGTGACCTGGTGACATAATTGGAAATTATTTGCTGGGGTCAACAGTTCAACTGCCACTGTTGCCTTAAGATTTCAGCGTTTGCCATTGAATGCTGTGTTATAAGCCAAACACACAATCTAGAGACAATCCAAAATATTAAATTATGTCCATTTACGAAAATAGTTATTTATGTCTTGGAGCAATTCATTATTAAGACGGCAGGATGGCATTGATCCGGGGTTAGAATCTGCATCTTCGCTGCCGGTGATGAATTGTTTTCAAGTGTAGCGAGTTAATGATGTCCACCCATCACCAAAGACTGCCCAAAAAGTAATTGTTAAATTTCGTATTGCTCTCCATTTGGCTAACTTCCAGCTCAGTCCTGTGACAATCTCATAGCAAGGCTTGTGTGAAAGAGCTCTCCCCTTAATGTGTAAACACAAAAGCCACTTGAAGGATTTTTCTGAAGGCCTGTGAAAACTCACTTCCAAGGAATATTTTATGACACACTGGGCCCTTCTGCTCTCTGATACTCCCTTTTAGATTCTTAATCTAATGACGTAATACTGACAGCACAATTGTAACACATTTTCATCTGCTAAAGAACTATCATCTACTACTTATATTATCAGGCTTCTTTAGGCTTAGCCAAGCATCAGTATACACCCATTAAATATAATGTCATGTACGAAGCATTGGACACCACTAACATTAACAGATACTTCCAGGCATTGCTATGCACAAATAGACACATCTCAGCGTGGCCATTAACAGGAGTGATTAGACAAGTACCAGACTCCGGGAGGCAACAGGAGCTGCTTCTGGGCATAACCAGGCATCGGTGCCAACCATGGGGGAATGGCAAGGCGCTACTATGTGGTACGGGGGGGGGGGGGGGTACAGTGAAGGATCTCACTTCTTCTCGGGCGGGGTGCAGCGCTGCACATAGGCCGGCGTGAGGGGGCTTGGCTGCGCCGGGTGCCGTGGGCGCTCGTTCCCCGTGAAGGCCACGTTGATGGCGAAGTGCTTGACGTAGTTCTCCAGGATGGAGATGACGTTCGGCAAACACGGCAGCTTCACCAACTGCGCACGAGTGCATGCAAGTCAGCATCAGGAAACAAACGTTCAGGCTAATGCGGCTACATTACCCACAGAATGCCAACCATTTACCTACTACAACTAACAAACTATATAAGTGTCTTCATGATCGAAATTTACAGAAACAAAAACACCACTGAAATGTATAGAATAAATGCAGTACACAATATTATGAGAATAGGTTTTCCTCTTTTTTCAGGCAACAAAACAGATGTTAATACACCAAACTGAAACCATTTTACAAGGAATCATGTCTGCATTAACCACAATACTCGTGGTCAGAATGCAAACCAAAAACATATTCTGATAATATATGCATTGTCTTTGAAACTGATTGGTCCACACCAGAGACAGCTTTCTTTTGAGCCTAGTCTCAAAACGGTGTTAGACCAGAAGACGCCAAAAGGCATACAGCACAAAGGCAAGCACTATCAGAGTAATGTGAGCTCGGGGTGAGCAGCTACATCATGGGATCTCCTTTGCCAGGACCAAAATATGAGAATAGGTTTTCCCCTTTTTTCTGGCAAACAAAACAGGTGTTAAGATATTCTTAGTTTTTTTTGTTGTTTCTCTTCAACGTGACTTTACCGAAAAAACTAAGAATATGAATTACTGCAGTCACGAAAGCTTTAAATCAAAATTTAGGTGTTAAGATGTTAATACACCAGCTGTACACAATATTAGTTTAGGGCTTTCGGCACCATTTGTGATCAGAGCAGAGTGGAAGTCTGATTTGGAATTTCACAGACCCAATAAGATTTGATGCCACTATTTCAGATCTGGCATTGGATTTCAATGCCAGGTTTCTTCCTCAGGCCAGACTTCTTCCACATCATCAGCATTTATTTCTCAGGGACGATGGACTGCAGGCAGCGAAAGTGCCCTCTGGATTTGTGGATCCCCAGTTAAAGAGGGCAATGTTGAGCGTCACACTTTTTCTCTTTCCCCAGAGTTTTCTCTACAAAACCATTTAAATGAAGCTTCGACATCCAGATAATATAGTTCTGAGCAGCTTACCCACCTTCTTACGCTTGTTGATGAGAAAACAGTCCTCTTCCAGCTGCTTCTTCAGTGACTCGGGAATCTCGACGACAATTGATTTCGTTTTGGATTCCTCCCTGTTTTTGTCTTCCTCATTACCCACTGCCTGCAAGGGTGATAACAGTTATCGAGCATCTAAGGCAGGGGTCGGCAAACAAAATATCAAGAGACACTTTTTTAGAATTCGGTACAAAACTCAATATTTCAAGAGCCGCAATGCATGTGAATACACACATACATAACGTCACGAAGAAGTCTGTAAAGAGCCGCATGCGGCTCTTTACAGACTTCTTCGCTGCAGGTTTCAGACCCCTGATTTAAGAGAAAAACCCTAACCCGACACAATATTAAGGGGCATTGACACTCACATTCATATCCAAAATGTTCTCATCCTCGTCACTGCTGTCCTCCTCTTCCTCCTCACTTGCATCCTCTTCCACGTCCGAGCTGCTGCTGAATGCTGCAAAGGCAATGATCCAGTCAATGCCTCTCTGCCACGTTTGTGATTGTACAGATCTCAGGAAATATGCTTTCTGCAATATGTAATAATGTATTTTATGTATATTTGTCTGCACCTCACGTGCATATATGCATAAAGTAATATAATACAAACATCGTAAACCAGCCGGGAAGTGCCGTAGTCGAGTGCCCGACTCGCAAAAATGAAAATCCCGGCCATAGGACGGCTTATCCCATCGTCTCCCAAGGATTAAAAAATATATATTTTGTCGTCAAGAATGGTTATCATGTGCAGGAATTATCTCCGAGTCCAGGACTGTGTAACTTCCACTATTGGCTCAGTGGGGCAAACAAAAGATGACAACTGTGGCACATTCCCTTCATTGCGCTTATGCCGACTTAACTTGACTGTAATGCGTTATTCATGAAGACATGCTCTGATGTTCACATTTGAAAAAAAAATCCTTTCAAGTTTATTCTTACTAAAAGGGACTATTTAGTTGTTTTTCACAAGAACTAAAGAGTTAAATATCACTTGGATTCTGTACTTTCAGGAACCCAAGGATCCTTACAAGGCTGTTTTAAGGCTAAAATTACACAAATTCAGCAATAAAAAGCAAGCTTATGTAAAATTATCCTAATTGTAACCAAACAGTGGGTGGCTGCGGTATTTTTGAAGGGCAGAGCTTAATTTTGAAAGCCACATGGTTCTTTATCAGTTCCCCACAGCTACTCTGCCCTTTCTCTTAAAAGCAACTTGACCCCTTGTCGGTGCCTAAGCTCATTTCATGTTTCTCATCCGCACCTCTTTCAAGTCTGAAGTGAATGTCACACTACACAGGTGGCAATATGCATGCAAACTATAGCCAGTGCTGGGATCACCAATTAACCATTTTGGCCAAGACGACGTCCCGTAAAACGGACTCTGTGTCTAGGTAGCTCTTGCACGAAAAAATAGAGGCTTGATCAACTGTCATGTTGAGTTAAAATATGGTAGGCCATTCATATACTCTAAGACTTCCTATATCAGGTATAACACATTTATGAGATGTATTCACTTATAATGCATTTTACGTTTACAAACTGTTACGAACATAAATATTGTAAAATGTAGGCCAGCTGACTAACTCCATGAGTGTATTGATAAAATTTACATTAACATGAGGTAATTTTGATTTAAAGCTTTCGTGACTGCAGTAATTCATATTCTTAGTTTTTTCGGTAAAGTCACGTTGAAGAGAAACAACAAAATAACAAAATATATATAAAACAATAAAAAATTCTCACGACGTTTCGACCATAACTCAACGGTCATCATCAGGTGTGTCGGTTTGCATACATTTATTTTGAAAACGGCATATTTATTTATTTATATATAAAAAAAAATAACGTTTGCGTCACGCGCAGCGATTGGCAGTTTGCCCAGGACTAGTCCATCTATGTTCTGAAAAGAGGAGGGGGGAGACGAAAATTAATGTATGCTGTCTGAAAGCCACTGTAAGCGTGAACAATCAATTAAGACCTGAAATGGTTTATCAAATCTTTCCAATGATTGCTAAGCCAGAATCCATCTTCTCAGTTGAAATTGTCTCTGTGCTTGTATATGTGGATAGCCTCATGAACGAATCTCTCATGGTAGCCAGATGGCTTACAAAGAACCTTTGTCTGGGAAAAGTCAATGTCATGTGAGCCTACTGAATTATAACAATGATCTGCTACGGCCGAGGTGTTGGTCCTACCGTGTTTAAGGTCTGCTTTGTGTTCACGAATGCGGTCTGAGACATGGCGTTTGGTTTCTCCAATGTAACTACTACCAAAGAGGCAACTTAGTTTGTAGACACCAGGGTACTGTATGTCCTAATTAAAAAGAGACCTGATGGTTCAATGAGCCACTCTGTCTACAGGAAAGCTACCCATACAGATGCTTATCTGAAACCGGATTCCCACCACCATCCATTACAAAAGAATTCTCTCATCAAGACTCTGTATCATAGAGCCCAAAGCATATCAGACCAGGAACACATAGGCAGTGATCTCAAGCACGTACACCAAGCTCTTAAGGCTAATGGTTTCTCCGACTATACAATCCGCAAAGCTATCACTCAAACCATGAAGAAGGACCCTCTTGAGGAGCCTTTCAAAACCATCACTTTACCCTACATTGCGAGGATCACCAAAAAGATCTCCAAAATATTGAATAAACACAAGATCCAGGTCCGTTTCAACACATTACATAAAATCCGTGATCTAGTTCCGTCTGTAAAAGATGTGATTCCGGACATACAGTACCCTGGTGTCTACAAACTAAGTTGCCTCTGTGGTAGTAGTTACATTGGAGAAACCAAACGCCATGTCTCGGACCGCATTCGTGAACACAAAGCAGACCTTAAACACGGTAGGACCAACACCTCGGCCGTGGCAGATCATTGTTATAATTCAGTAGGCTCACATGACATTGACTTTTCCCTGACAAAGGTTCATTGTAAACCATCTGGCTACCATGAGAGATTCGTTCATGAGGCTATCCACATATACAAGCACAGAGACAATTTCAACCGAGAAGATGGATTCTGGCTTAGCAATCATTGGAAAGATTTGATAAACCATTTCAGGTCTTAATTGATTGTTCACACTTACAGTGGCTTTCAGACAGCATACGTTATTTTTTTGTCTCCCCCCTCCTCTTTTCAGAACATAGATGGACTAGTCCTTCTAAATAAACTGTCAAATCGCTGCGCGTGGCGCTGACGTTTTTTTAAATAAATGCACCGTTTAAAAAGAAATAAATGTATGCAAACCGACACACCTGATGACGACCGTTTGTGTTATGGTCGAAACGTCGTGAGAATTTTTATTCTTTTATATATATTTTATTATTTTATTGTTTCCCTTCAACGTGACTTTACCGAAAGAGCTAAGAATATGAATTACTGCAGTCACGAAAGTTTTAAATCAAAATCTTAAGATTGTGAGTTCAAAGTCTGGTTAGGGTAAACTCAGCTCATTATTCCCCCAGAGTCAATACATTTTAGTATCACTATTTAGCACAAGCTCTTGTTATAAAAGTATCCTATTTTCACTATCGGATCACAACCAACAATTGTGCTATGTACATATTTGTGTGTGTGCAGTGGGTAGGAGAATTACAGGCTTCCTCTTCTTCTTGAAATTCAGCATCAGTGGCCACATTTTTGAGCACAGAATCAACACCAGGGACGTGGCAGCGTCTCTTTTTCCCCTTCTTTCTCCTGCGGGGAATAGCAATCCTGTAAGCATGGCCTCTCAAGAACTCAGGCATGGCTGTAAACTAGGCACGTACCATTGCAGGGGCATTAAATTGCATTTCATGTTAAAGTCAATCAGCCAGCAAAGAGGCAACTGTGTACAAGTACTCATGCCATATAAATGTAAGCCAAATTTCTACTTACTGGCTTCACAGGCTCAACACCAGCTTACAATGAACACCTTGTGCATTCTGTCGTGTAGAAGATAAACAATCAAATGTGATTGTTGCACTTTTAATTATGGATAATTAGGTAAATTAATAAACACGTGTCTGTTTCATTTCCAAAATAAAAACATTTAACTCACTGCTAATAGACCTTCCAGGCCAATATATTCCAACAGCAGATGTTTAATCAAAACAAACTGTAAAATTTGTTTAAATGCTACCAAGGTGAAATCATCGGGGAAAACCCATTGGTCAACAAATGAAATGTAATTGTTTTGGCAATCCAACAAATATCTTTCCCGTTTGTTTATTATCTGGCTTGGAAGGTCAGCGGGAGAGTAAGCGGCTCACAATCCGAAGGTTGCAACTTCAAATTCTGGTTGGGGGTAGACTTGACCCACCATCTCTCTAAGGTCCAAAAGATGAGTACCTCAATGCTCAATTGAGCAGGTAAACTCTTTGGCTGGATTTTGTTTATTATTGATTAGCATACTAGAGTAATGTACAGCTATTTTTTATCCAATTATGGATTAAGGCCTTCATAGTGGTTCTGGACCAAAGTGGTTCTAGACAATAGTTTACCACACTGTTTATGTGGGTGAGTGAAGGAGAGGAACCCTGGACCAGATCAGACATCACTTGCCACTAGTGTTAGCTTAGGCCAGAAATCAAACTGAGATCGCTAGGTTCACAGTAGAGTGTGCGAACCACTGCACCACCACTCGCCCCCCCCCCCCCCCCCCCCCCCCATAACACTATCACGGGTTAAACTTGGGCACAGTTTCAACATATGTACATATGGAGCCCTTTGTCTATCCATTGCTGATGAGGGCTTTCCGATGGCATGGAAGCTGTGGGGGCTATTTGGCCAAACTTTTCCATCGTTATCAACACCGCAGAATTTTTTTTAACAGGTCCGACTCTGCTGATGAGCTGCACTAAACTCGTCAGTGCATGTTGGTGAAGGCCTGGAGGGTGCATAGAAGTGGGTAACAGGGATCTTTCGTAACATACTAGCGGGAAGTACCCGGCGTTGCCTGGGCAAAAAATATACATACACAGATACTAAGGTATTGTGAAAGCCCGGTGGGCCGTTTGTCCATTTCAACACCAACAAAATGATAAGAGGCTTGCACAGGTCCAAAAAGTAATAGAAAGTGGGGGGTAAATGGTTGATCTAAAAGGTTACTGAAAATTGTCGAACACCTCCCCTCAAAAAATATCTTTACCCCCAGGGTGGGTATATATACCTACACACGCTACATACAACAGAGTAAGTAGTATCTATTGACTCTGTAGTTGTATCTACTGACTGTACAGTAGTTTCTACTGAGCCAGTAGTACCTACTGACCGTTTAGTAGTATTTACTGACTGTAGTAACTACTGACCGAAGTAGTATCTACTGGCCCTATAGTGCTATCTACTGACTGTAGGAGTAACGATTGACCGTAGTAGTATTTACTGGCCGTACAGTAGTATCTACCGACTCTATAGTAGTAACAACTAACTGTATCGTAGTATCTGCTGACTCTATAGTAGTATCTGCTGACTCTATAGTGGTATCTACTAACTCTATAGCAGTATCTACTCACTCTATAGGAGTATCTACTGACTCCAGCAACGACTGACCGTAATATATACTGACTGTAGCAGAATTTACTGACTGAAGTGATATATACTGACTGTTTTAGTATCTACTAACAATATATTACAGTATCTACCAACTGGATAGCAGTATCGACTATCACTACAGCAGTGCATACCGACTGTGGTGGTACCTGCTTTAACTACAGCAGTGCCTATTGACTGTGGTGGTATCCTGCAATGACTACAGCAGTGCATACTGACTGTGGTGAGACCTGCTTTAACTACAGCAGTGCATACCGACTGTGATGGTTCCTGCTATCATGACAGCAGTGCATACTGACTGTGGTGGATCCTGCGATCACTACAGTAGTGCATACCGACTGTGTTGGTACCTGCTATCACTACAGCAGTGCATACCGATTGTGGTGGTCCCTGCATTAACTACAGCATTGTATACCGACTGTGGTGGATCCTGCTATAACTACAGCTGTGCATACAGAATGTGGTGGTACCTGCTTTCACTACAGCTGTGCATACTGACTGTGGTACCTGCTATGATTACACCAGTGCATACTGTGGTGGTACCTGCTATGATTACAGCAGTGCATACTGTGGTGGTACCTGCGTTCACTACAGCAGTGCATACCGACTGTGGTGGTACCTGCTTTCACTACAGCAGTGCTTACCGACTGTGGGGGTACCTGCTTTCACCACAGCAGTGCATACCGACTGTGGTGGCACCTGCTATCACTACAGCAGTGTATACCGACTGTGGTGGTACCTGCTATCATAGCAGTGCATACCGATTGTGGTGGTCCCTGCTTTAACTACAGCATTGTATACCGACTGTGGTGGATCCTGCTATCACTACAGCAGTGCATATCGACTGTGGTGGTATCTGCTATAACTACAGCAGTGCATACCGACTGTGGTGGAACCTGCTTTCACTACAGCAGTGCACACCGACTGTGGTGGTACCTGCTATTACAGCAGTGCATACTGACTGTGGTACCTGCTATGATTACAGCAGTGGATACTGACTGTGGTGGTACCTATGATAACAGCAGTGCATACCGACAGTGGTGGTACCTGCCTTCACTACAGCAGTGGATACCGACTTTGGTGGTACCTACTTTCACTACAGCAGTGCATACTGACTGTGGTGGTACATGCTATCACCACAGCAGTGCATACCGATTGTGGTGGTCCCTGCATTAACTACAGCATTGTATACCGACTGTGGTGGATCCTGCTATAACGACAGCAGTGCATACCAACTGTGTTGGTACCTGCTATCAATACAGCAGTGCATACCGATTGTGGTGGTCCCTGCATTAACTACAGCATTGTATACCGACTGTGGTGGATCCTGCTATAACTACAGCAGTGCATACAGAATGTGGTGGTACCTGCTTTCACTACAGCTGTGCATACTGACTGTGGTACCTGCTATGATTACAGCAGTGCATACTGTGGTGGTACCTGCTATGATTACAGCAGTGCATACTGTGGTGGTACCTGCTATGATTACACCAGTGCATACTGTGGTGGTACCTGCTATGATTACAGCAGTGCATACTGTGGTGGTACCTGCGTTCACTACAGCAGTGCATACCGACTGTGGTGGTACCTGCTTTCACTACAGCAGTGCTTACCGACTGTGGGGGTACCTGCTTTCACCACAGCAGTGCATACCGACTGTGGTGGCACCTGCTATCACTACAGCAGTGTATACGGACTGTGGTGCTACCTGCTATCACAGCAGTGCATACCGATTGTGGTGGCCCCTGCTTTAACTACAGCATTGTATACCGACTGTGGTGGATCCTGATATCACTACAGCAGTGCATACCGACTGTGGTGGTATCTGCTATAACTACAGCAGTGCATACCGACTGTGGTGGAACCTGCTTTCACTACAGCAGTGCACACCGACTGTGGTGGTACCTGCTATTACAGCAGTGCATACTGACTGTGGTACCTGCTATGATTACAGCAGTGGATACTGACTGTGGTGGTACCTATGATAACAGCAGTGTATACCGACAGTGGTGGTACCTGCTTTCACTACAGCAGTGGATACCGACTTTGGTGGTACCTACTTTCACTACAGCAGTGCATACCGACTGTGGTGGTACCTGCTATCACCACAGCAGTGCATACCGACTGTGGTGGTACCTGCTTTCACTACAGCTGTGCATACTGACTGTGGTACCTGCTATGATTACAGCAGTGCATACTGTGGTGGTACCTGCTATGATTACAGCAGTGCATACTGTGGTGGTACCTGCTTTCACCACAGCAGTGCATACCGACTGTGGTGTCACCTGCTATCACTACTGCAGTGCATACCGACTGTGGTGGTACCTGCTATCACAGCAGTGCATACTGACTGTGTAACCTGCTATGATTACAGCAGTGGATACTGATTGTGGTGGCATCTGCTATGATTACAGCAGTGGATACTGACTGTGGTGGTACCTGCTATGATAACAGCAGTGCATACTGTGGTGGTACCTGCTATGATTACAGCAGTGCATACTGTGGTGGTACCTGCTATCACTACAGCATTGCATACCGACTGTGGTGGTACCTGCTATCACTACAGCAGTGCATACCAACTGTGGTGGTATCTGCTATCACTACAGCAGTGCATACCGACTGTGGTGGCACCTGCTTTCACTTCAGCAGTGCATACGGTGGTGGTACCTGCTTTCACTACAGCAGTGCATACCGACTGTGGTGGTACCTGCTATCACCACAGCAGTGCATACCGACTGTGGTGGTACCTGCTATCACAGCAGTGCATACCGATTGTGGTGGTCCCTGCTTTAACTACAGCATTGTATACGAACTGGGGTGGTACCTGCTATCACCACAGCAGTGCATACCGACTGTGGTGGTACCTGCTATATTTACAGCAGTGCATACTGACTGTGATACCTGCTATGATTACAGCAGTGGATACTGACTGTGGTAGCACCTGCTATGATAAGAACAGTGCATACTGTGGTGGGACCTGCTATGATTAGAGCAGTGCATATTGTGGTGGTACCTGGTTTCATTACAGCAGTGCATACCGACTGTGGTGATACCTGTATGATTACAGCAGTACATACTGACTGTGATGGTACCTGCTATCACTACAGCAGCGCATACTGTGGTGGTACCTGCTTTCACTACAGCAATGCATACCGACTGTGGTGGATCCTGATATCACTACAGCAGTGCATACCGACTGTGGTGGTATCTGCTATAACTACAGCAGTGCATACCGACTGTGGTGGAACCTGCTTTCACTACAGCAGTGCACACCGACTGTGGTGGTACCTGCTATTACAGCAGTGCATACTGACTGTGGTACCTGCTATGATTACAGCAGTGGATACTGACTGTGGTGGTACCTATGATAACAGCAGTGCATACCGACAGTGGTGGTACCTGCTTTCACTACAGCAGTGGATACCGACTTTGGTGGTACCTACTTTCACTACAGCAGTGCATACCGACTGTGGTGGTACCTGCTATCACCACAGCAGTGCATACCGACTGTGGTGGTACCTGCTTTCACTACAGCTGTGCATACTGACTGTGGTACCTGCTATGATTACAGCAGTGCATACTGTGGTGGTACCTGCTATGATTACAGCAGTGCATACTGTGGTGGTACCTGCTTTCACCACAGCAGTGCATACCGACTGTGGTGTCACCTGCTATCACTACTGCAGTGCATACCGACTGTGGTGGTACCTGCTATCACAGCAGTGCATACTGACTGTGTAACCTGCTATGATTACAGCAGTGGATACTGATTGTGGTGGCATCTGCTATGATTACAGCAGTGGATACTGACTGTGGTGGTACCTGCTATGATAACAGCAGTGCATACTGTGGTGGTACCTGCTATGATTACAGCAGTGCATACTGTGGTGGTACCTGCTATCACTACAGCATTGCATACCGACTGTGGTGGTACCTGCTATCACTACAGCAGTGCATACCAACTGTGGTGGTATCTGCTATCACTACAGCAGTGCATACCGACTGTGGTGGCACCTGCTTTCACTTCAGCAGTGCATACGGTGGTGGTACCTGCTTTCACTACAGCAGTGCATACTGACTGTGGTGGTACCTGCTATCACCACAGCAGTGCATACCGACTGTGGTGGTACCTGCTATCACAGCAGTGCATACCGATTGTGGTGGTCCCTGCTTTAACTACAGCATTGTATACCAACTGGGGTGGTACCTGCTATCACCACAGCAGTGCATACCGACTGTGGTGGTACCTGCTATATTTACAGCAGTGCATACTGACTGTGATACCTGCTATGATTACAGCAGTGGATACTGACTGTGGTAGCACCTGCTATGATAAGAACAGTGCATACTGTGGTGGGACCTGCTATGATTAGAGCAGTGCATATTGTGGTGGTACCTGGTTTCATTACAGCAGTGCATACCGACTGTGGTGATACCTGTATGATTACAGCAGTACATACTGACTGTGATGGTACCTGCTATCACTACAGCAGCGCATACTGTGGTGGTACCTGCTTTCACTACAGCAATGCATACCGACTGTGGTGGTACCTGCTATCACCACAGCAGTGCATACCGACTGTGGTGGTACCTGCTTTCACTACAGCAGTGCATACCGACTGTGGTGGTACCTGCTATCACCACAGCAGTGCATACCGACTGTGGTGGTACCTGCTTTCACTACAGCTGTGCATACTGACTGTGGTACCTGCTATGATTACAGCAGTGCATACTGTGGTGGTACCTGCTATGATTACAGCAGTGCATACTGTGGTGGTACCTGCTTTCACCACAGCAGTGCATACCGACTGTGGTGTCACCTGCTATCACTACTGCAGTGCATACCGACTGTGGTGGTACCTGCTATCACAGCAGTGCATACTGACTGTGTAACCTGCTATGATTACAGTAGTGGATACTGATTGTGGTGGCATCTGCTATGATTACAGCAGTGGATACTGACTGTGGTGGTACCTGCTATGATAACAGCAGTGCATACTGTGGTGGTACCTGCTATGATTACAGCAGTGCATACTGTGGTGGTACCTGCTATCACTACAGCATTGCATACCGACTGTGGTGGTACCTGCTATCACTACAGCAGTGCATACCAACTGTGGTGGTATCTGCTATCACTACAGCAGTGCATACCGACTGTGGTGGCACCTGCTTTCACTTCAGCAGTGCATACGGTGGTGGTACCTGCTTTCACTACAGCAGTGCATACCGACTGTGGTGGTACCTGCTATCACCACAGCAGTGCATACCGACTGTGGTGGTACCTGCTATCACAGCAGTGCATACCGATTGTGGTGGTCCCTGCTTTAACTACAGCATTGTATACGAACTGGGGTGGTACCTGCTATCACCACAGCAGTGCATACCGACTGTGGTGGTACCTGCTATATTTACAGCAGTGCATACTGACTGTGATACCTGCTATGATTACAGCAGTGGATACTGACTGTGGTAGCACCTGCTATGATAAGAACAGTGCATACTGTGGTGGGACCTGCTATGATTAGAGCAGTGCATATTGTGGTGGTACCTGGTTTCATTACAGCAGTGCATACCGACTGTGGTGATACCTGTATGATTACAGCAGTACATACAGACTGTGATGGTACCTGCTATCACTACAGCAGCGCATACTGTGGTGGTACCTGCTTTCACTACAGCAATGCATACCGACTCTGGTGGAACCTGCTATCACTACAGCAGTGCATACCGACTGTGGCGGTACCTGCTATAACTACAGTCGTACATGCTGACTCTATAGCAGTAAATAGACTCTAAAGCACAAAGTACTCACCTGACAGAGTGCCGTGGTGAGGCCTAGTCCCGTACCGAGCTCCCGGCCTCGCCTAGATTGCCCAGCCGGAGGAGGTGATACATTGCCAGGCTGGGGGCTGGGCCACTACCCCCCCCCCCCGACCCCCCCACAATCCCCCCGCCCGAGCTACAATAATACTATCTAAGCGCTATAATATTAGTATCTACCGACCCTATAGTAGTAAGTGCACAACATTGGGGTGGGGGTGGAGAGAAGAGGACATGATACTTTGCTGAATTTACCTCAGCGTTGCGTGTATTTTTTTTGCATTTTGAACACGAAGGAGAAATACCCCCCACCCTCCACCGATGACGCGCGCGCATTGCCAGGGGCAACCCCCGTGCAGCTTGAGCGGGACAGGGAAATTAATAAAGAGAAATCGCACAAAAACGCTATTTTAACTAATTTGAAGATGACGACGTGGAAAAGGAACAGCCTATGCCAAGCACGGAGCTTACGGCATGGTACCCGGCTAATTTTTTTTACGTAAACCCTTCGCAAGCGCGTGTACGTAGACAGACAGACGGACAAAGAATGACGTTTATAGGTAAGATATGCAGACATAATTAAAGACAATGTTTTGGTTTCATAGATGCTTTCTCCATCCCAGCCAAAGTGTTGAAAGGGGAATGCAACTCCTGGTTACACTTACATCTTGGCCACTGCTCTCTTGGCGAGGTTACGCTGTAGACGTCGGTTTTCTTCAGTATCTCTCAGCACGTGATCCTCTTTTGCCCATCGATCCCAGCTGCAAGAAACACACACCCAATTCACACCAATTGGATGGCGCTCATGCCAGTTGCATGCAATCCACACAAATTACAAATAGAAGCATTCAGGAATATTAACCCTGCATAGTTTAAAATTCACCATGATCATGTTGTCTATTCACTGTTGGATGAAGGTCTCCCCACTGTGTCAGTGTTGGTCATGGGGGATGTTTGACCATCCATCACCACACTTGTCAGCACAGGTTGAAGCAAGCACATAATCTTGCAATTCATTGAGTGATGTCTATGGGTGCCCCTATCCTGTAACAAATCAAGTCTACCAGGCTCTCAAGCTCCCTTAACCACATCAAAGCAGAGCCCCATTTAAAAAGACAGAAACAAGAGTTTATCAAAATGCATGTGTTTTTCACCAGGCACTTCTATTTATGTACCTAACATATGAGTCAATTTATAGCATCTTACATACATGACTGACATTCCATGTGCCAACTCAGTACCCTGACCTCTGAGCAACCACCAAGCCTACTCGTAACTAATTTTTTTTTATTAAATTAGGAAGTTTGGTGTAAAAATGTAACATTGATGTGCAATATAAACAGGTTTGCTTTGTAGCCCTATTATTTAGACAATCTCCTGCATGTTTTGAGTATTGCCTTTCATTACGTATCACAATGGAAAAATCCAAGCAGGGTGTATGGCAGTGTTGTTCATTGCAAGGCCCGCGGGCCACTGGCGGCCCCTGGTAGCCTTTAGTGCGGCCCCTGACAATACACAACATGTGAAAATACCACCCCCCCCCCCCCCCATCGTCGTCATGCTGTCAACCTCTAATGGTTTCAAATGTGTGGCGGCCCTCACGCGGATGATGCCTTATCGGTGAAAGCGTCCCCCAACACACCCCCTGAAAATGAGTGAAGAACACCACCGGTGTACGGTGTTTGGGTCTCGAGCTGCTGCTGGTAACGAGGTCGCAGGTGACCAGGAGATGACTTGGGTTGCGGTTGCTTCTTGCACACAACGTCCTGGGGGTCACATTATCAGCATTTGCCTTCCCGCGCATTTAGAATTGTAGTTTGGCTCAGGTGTTTTTGTTTCCTTCCAAGCAAACACTCTACTTTAGTTGCGTCGAGTTAGCAACTTTATATTAACCTAAGTTGTATTCAATTCCAATGAGGCAAACTTTGAAGGTTGTGTTTAGATCACGCGACGGGGAACATACGATTACAAATAACAGAAACACCCTTTCCCTCACGCGTCAACATCTATTAAGTTCATATTCTTGGTTCTTTCGGTAAAGTCACGTAGATGATTGCTTGTATTGCAGTCGAAACGTCGTGAGAATTGTATTGTTTTATATTTTTATTATTTAGTTTCCCTTCTACGTGGTGACTTTACCGAAAGAACCAAGGATATGAATCCCTGCAGTCACGAAAGCTTTAAATCAAATCTATTAAGTTCGCTACATTATTCGAAAGGCGGATGGAAAGGAAGCTGTGATGGTCCAAAATGTGTTTTTGCAACTACGTTTAGTTGCAGCAGATTTGCGTGCACCTTCGATTCCAACCGTTGAAATGGATAAGATATTCAGGAATCTTCCTCCCTTTGTCATCCTTCCCAACATCGACATCCACCACCTACAAACACGCGAAAGGCAGACAACCATACACCATGTAACATTCACCCGTACGTAGGAACAAATGTTTCGGCACCTGAGCAATATGAGAACGAGCAAGAATACTCGTTTATAGCCACTGGCTTGCACCTGGTTCCAAACACGTTGACAGCAAAAACCCTCGCAAGGTTTACATGCAGGGAGCACAACCACGCGGCAGCACGCAAGTAGAATCTCATTCAGCAATCGAGCTCGAAGCACTACACCCCTCCCCCTGCTGGCTACCACGAAGCGGCCTATGACACCTGTTACGCACGGCGGGTCGCCCATCCAAAAACACTGCCCAGGGTCAACCCCGCTTAGCTTCAGAGCTGTGACCCCGGGGGCTGGCGCGCATCATTGAGGGCGGTTAGGTCACAGTCAATGGAAGCACGAAGCACACTGACCGCCCCCCGATGCCCAGACGCTGCAGTGTTAAGTCTGAAGAAACGCGGGTGAACCATCATCCTCGCCTCATCATCCTCGCCTCCTCATCATCCTCGCCTCCTCATCATCATCCTCGCCTCCTCATCATCATCCTCGCCTCCTCATCATCATCCTCGCCTCCTCATCAACCTCGCCTCCTCATCATCCTCGCCTCATCATCGTCGCCTCCTCATCATCCTCGCCTCCTCATCAACCTCGCCTCCTCATCAACTTCGCCTCCTCATCAACCTCGCCTCCTCATCATCCTCGCCTCCTCATCATCCTCGCCTCATCAACGTCGCCTCCTCCTCATCATCCTCGCCTCCTCATCATCCTCGCCTCCTTCTCATCATCCTCGCCTCCTCCTCATCATCCTCGCCTCCTCCTCATCATCCTCGCCTCCTTCTCATCATCCTCGCCTCCTCCTCATCATCCTCGCCTCCTCCTCATCAACCTCGCCTCCTCATCATCCTCGCCTCATCATCGTCGCCTCCTCATCATCCTCGCCTCCTCATCAACCTCGCCTCCTCATCAACCTCGCCTCCTCATCAACCTCGCCTCCTCATCATCCTCGCCTCCTCATCATCCTCGCCTCCTCCTCATCATCCTCGCCTCCTCATCATCCTCGCCTCCTTCTCATCATCCTCGCCTCCTCCTCATCATCCTCGCCTCCTCCTCATCATCCTCGCCTCCTCCTCATCATCCTCGCCTCCTCCTCATCATCCTCGCCTCCTCCTCATCATCCTCGCCTCCTCCTCATCAACCTCGCCTCCTCCCTCATCCACCTCCGCCGCCGCCTCGTCCCGCGCGGCGGCGCCCTCTAACCTTGGCGTCGTAGAGAACTCGCGCTTTGGTCGGGTCGGGCTCGAAGCACAGCACGCGTTCCCCCTTCTGAAACTTTAATTTCACGCCGCCGCGAGTGGTGGTCATGCTAGACAAGGGGAGCCGCCCTCCCGAACCTCGGGCACCATCACACGGCCAGCGCCAGCAGGGCCACGGACGCCTCCTGTTGCTGCTGCTACTGCAGCAGCGCCGCCACGGACACGGCGACGGCTCGCAACTTCCCGCCCGCCATCTTGCTACACCCCCCCCCCGCTCCTCTCCAACAAGCCGCCGGACGACCAATCGCGAGCTGTATCGGCGGCCACGTGCGCTCTCCGAGCCAATCGGTGCAGCCGGCAGTACAAAGATGGCACACCGGTTGTGGGAGGGAGCCCTGTACCAAGATGGCGGCGTGTTTGCGTGGAGGGGGGAACCGTACCAAGATGGCGGAGCGGTTATGGTGAAACCCGTACCAAGATGGCGCCACAACCTCATGAATATTCATGAGCGTGGCTGCAAGGCGGGGGGGGCATAGGGAGTGGTGGTGCAGCATCCAGCGCGCTCTGCTACCAACCCGGCGATCCAAGCTCGATTGCCGTTCACGGCCACCAAAACCAGTTGACGATTATTAGAACCGGTCCTTGGCCTCCCCTAGGTAGACTCAGCCAAAAATTTGTACCTGGTGCGGTGTGTAAAATCGTCGCCACTGGACATAACCAAGGCGGCCAGCACCGGCCACCCCCCACCCCCCCTGCCTTGTGTGCCGTTTCGGCCTTAGTAGGAGCTTCTGACATCACTTGTCCTAAGTCTATAGGGCCGTCCATAAATGACGTTACGCACCTCAAAATGCGCAACTTTAAATAAATATAGAATTGTTATAACAACATTAATTTTTATGAATTTTTATTATTAACTATTTGATTATTTTAATTTACTAAGGCCACCTTTTATTTATTCCGTGAAGGAGCATTTTGCTCCATTGGAGAATGGAGAAGCATACATTTTGAAAAAAAAATGGAATGATTGTTATTACATTTTGATTCTAATGATTCTACCAGGGCTTTTCATTCTGTGGAATGAATATATGATTATTCTTGGTTCTTTTGGTAGAGTCACGTAGAAGGTAAACAATTAAATATAAAACAATTAAATTCTAACGACGTTTCGACTGCAACAAGCAATCATCATCAGGTGTGAAAACCACAGCAAGAAATTTTGAAAAAAGTGGCGTTTTTTTAACGTTAGCACCACGGAGAGCGATTTGGCAGTTATTCAGATGGACGAGTCCATCTATTTTGACTTAAAGCTTTCGTGGCTGCAGTGATTCATATTCTTGGTTCTTTCGGTAAAGTCACGTTGAAGGGAAACAATAAAATAATAAAATATACATAAAACAATAAAATTCTCACGACGTTTCGACTGTAACACAAACAGTCATCAGGTGTGAAAACCAACGGCAAGAAACATTTGAAAGAAGTGGCGGTTTGTATGTATTTATAAACGTTAGCACCACGGATAGCGATTTGACAGTTTGTTTAGATGGACGAGTCCATCTATGTTCGGAAAAGAGGAGGGGGAAGACGAAAAATTAATGTATGCTGTCTGGGTCACATCGCTGCAGACGTAGCAAGATCTGAAATCGCTGCAACCCTCAAAAACGCTAAGATGCCAGCTAGCAACCTCAGCAAAGATGAGCGTTTGAATTATATAAATTAAAAAAGAGGGATGACATTGTAATCCTCTCAGCCGACATGGGCAATGCTGTCATCATGGATAAAATTGAATGTAACAACAAAATTAAAGAATTACTCGACGATGGCAGCTATATAAAAATAAAAAGAGATCCCACCAACAGCCTCGTCACACAAACCAACAAAATAATTTCTGATTCAACCGCATTAATTGATCAAACTAAACAGTTTTCGTTGAAACCTTCTGCTGCCAGGCCACCAAGATTATACGGCTTACCAAAAATACATTAAGTAGATACACCCCTTCGTCCCATAGTCTCTACTATCAACTCCCCCACCTACAAACTGGCTCGTTTTCTGTCTGAAATCCTGCGGCCTTTCACTGGAAAAAAACACCTCTGCGGTACAAAATTCTACTCACCTTGTATCGACAATCAAGGGTATTTCCCTGTCCCCAGACGACCTGCTTGTCAGTTTTTATGTAGTTTCCTTATTCACCAAAGTTCCTGTACCTGACACCATCGCAATCATTGAAGACTTGATTCATCAAGGACTAAACACTGAGGTACTCCCCATGGTGAGACACTGCTTAACCAATACATACTTCACTTGGAATGGAACTTTCTACAAACAAACTGAGGGCACCCCAATGGGCCCCCCCCCCTATCTCCGGTTATAGCCAACATTTTCATGGAGAAATTTGAGACTGACACCATCCAGACTGCCACTCTGCCCCCAACCTTATGGAAGAGGTACGTGGATGACACTTTTGTCATCTGGCCACATGGCCAGCCTGCTCTTGACCAATTCTTCGACCACATCAATTCCATACACCCAGCCATCAGATTTACCATGGAAGTCGAAAAAGATGGCAAGCTACCTTTTTTGGATGTCCTAATAAAAAAGAGACCTGATGGTTCAATGAGCCACTCTGTCTACAGGAAAGCTACCCATACGGATGCTTATCTGAAACCGGATTCCCACTACCATCCATCACAGAAGAATTATCTCATCAAGACTCTGCACCATAAAGCCCAATGCATATCCGACCAGGAACACATAGGCAGTGAACTCAAGCACGTACACCAAGCTCTTAAGGCTAATGGTTACTCCAACTATACAATCCGCAAAGCTATCACTCAAACCATGAAGAAGGACCCTCTTGAGGAGCCATTCAAAACCATCACTTTACCCTACATTGCGGGGATCACAAAAAGATCTCCAAAATCTTGAATAAACACAAGATCCAGGTCCGTTTCAACACATTACATAAAATCCGTGATCTGGTTCCGTCTGTAAAAGATGTTGCCTCTGTGGTAGTAGTTACATTGGAGAAACCAAACGACATGTCTCGGACCGCATTCGTGAACACAAAGCAGACCTTCAACACGGTAGGACCAACACATCGGCCGTGGCAGATCACTGTTATAATTCAGTAGGCTCACATGACATTGACTTCTCCAAGACAGAGGTTCTTTGCAAGCCATCTGGCTACCATGAGAGATTCGTTCATGAGGCTATCCACATATACAAACACAGAGACAATTTCAACCGAGAAGATGGATTCTGGCTTAGCAATCATTGGAAGAATTTGATAAACCATTTCGGGTCTTAATTGATTGTTCACGCTTACGGTGGCTTTCAGACAGCATACATTAATTTTTTTGTCTCCCCCCTCCTCTTTTCCGCCACGGATAGCGATTTGACATCCAAACGGAATCACATCTTTTACAGACGGAACCAGATCATGGATTTTATGTAATGTGTTGAATCGGACCTGGATCTTGTGTTTATTCAAGATTTTGGAGATCTTTTTGTGATCCCTGCAATATAGGGTAAAGTGATGGTTTTGAAAGGCTCCTCAAGAGGGTCCTTCTTCATGGTTGGAGTGATAGCTGTCAAATCGCTATCCGTGGCGCTAACGTTTATGAATAAATCAATACAAACCGCTACTTCTTTCAAATGTTTCTTGCCGTTGGTTTTCACACCTGATGATGACTGTTTGTGTTACAGTCGAAACGTCGTGAGAATTTTATTGTTATATATATTTTATTATTTTATTGTTTCCTTTCAACGTGACTTTACCGAAAGAACCAATAATATGAGTCCATCTATGTTCGGAAAAGAGGAGGGGGAGACGAAAATAATGGATGCGGTCTGAAAGACACAGTAAGCGTGATCAATTAAGACCCGAAATGGTTTATCAAATCCTTCCAATGATTACTAAGCCAGAATCCATCTCGGTTGAAATTGTCTCTGTGTTTGTATATGTGGATAGCCTCATGAACGAATCTCTCATGGTAGCCAGATGGCTTGCAAAGAACCTCTGTCTTGGAGAAGTCAATGCCATGTGAGCCTACTGAATTATAACAGTGATCTGCCACGGCCGAGGTGTTGGTCCTACCGTGCTTTAGGCCTACTTTGTGTTCACGAATGCGGTCCGAGACATGTCGTTTGGCAACTTAGTTTGTAGACGCCAGGGTACTGTATATCCAGAATCACATCTTTTACAGACGGAACCAGATCACGGATTTTATGTAATGTGTTGAATCGGACCTGGATCTTGTGTTTATTCAAGATTTTGGAGATCTTTTTTGCGATCCCCGCAATATAGGGTAAAGTGATGGTTTTGAAAGGCTCCTCAAGACGGTCCTTCTTCATGGTTGGAGTGATAGCTTTGCGGATTGTGTAGTCGGAGTAACCATTAGCCTTTAGAGAGACAACACATATACAAACGTAGAGACAATTTCAACCGAGAAGATGGATTATGGCTTAGCAATCATTGGAAGGATTTGATAAACCATTTCGGGTCTTAATTGATTGTTCACGCTTACAGTGGCTTTCAGACCGCATCCATTATTTTCGTCTCCCTCCTCCTCTTTTCCGAACATAAATGGACTCATATTCTTGGTTCTTTTGGTAAAGTCACGTAGAAGGGAAACAATAAAATAATAAAAATATATTTATATATATTTTTTCATATTTGTATTATTTTATTGTTTCCCTTCTACGTGACTTTGCCGAAATAACCAAGAATATGAATCCCTGCAGTCACGAAAGCTTTAAGTCAAAATAGATGGACTCGTCCATCTGAATAACTGCCAAATCACTCTCCGTGGTGCTAACGTTAAAAAAACGCCATTTTTTTCAAACTTTCTTGCTGTGGTTTTCACACCTGATGATTGCTTGTTGCAGTCGAAACGTCACGAGAATTGTATTGTTTTATATTTGTATTATTTTGTTTCCGTTCTACGTGACTTTACCCAAAGAACCAAGAATATGAATCCCTGCAGTCACGAAAGCTTTAAATCTAAAAGAATATGATTGTTATAATTTTACTCTCCATTTTGCTTCGTTCTACTACAAAGTTTCAAGTATATTTTATGGTTTTACTTTTAATATTTTATAATTATTAGATAATTTCAATATAATATTCTGAACATCTGCAGTTTTAGTTAGACGTTGAACATTTTCAAGTGAATTATGCTAAATTTAAGCTTTCCAACGCCTCCTTTTAAATACGTGTTTTCTCCTAAAACATCAGAGTGCAGCGCCACATTAAATACACACTACAATGAC